TTTACAGAGCAAATTCATTTTCTTTTTTTTAATGCATTTTATTGAAATATAATTTATGTACAGTGAAATACACAAAACTAAAGTGACATGGGTTAATGTGTGTGTGTGTGTGTGTGTGTTTTGCAGTGCTCCCTCCCCTCCTCTCCCACCCCTGGCTACCAGCAAAGAAAGTTTCCCTCCATATATAAACCTTTCCTTGATCCTCCACAACAATGAACTAATACTGTATTTGTCCTTCTGTGATTCACTTATTTCACTCAGCATAATGTCCTTCAGGTTTATCCATATTATGCAGTGATTTGCAGACTCTACATTATTCTTTAGTGCTGCATAGCATTCCAGTATGTGTATGTACCATAGTTTGGTCATCCACTCTTCTGCTGATGGGCATGTAGGTTGTTTCCATCTTTTTGCTTTGTAAATAGTGCTGTGATGAACGTGAGTGTGCATATACCTGTTCCTATCCCGGCTCTCATCTCTCTAGGATATATACCTAGTAATGAGATTGCTAGGTCAAATGGTATCTCTCCAATTCCAGCTTTCTAAGGAATCACCATATTGCTTTCCACAGTGGTTGTATCACTTCATAGTCCCACCAGCAGTGTATGAGAGTCCCAATTTCTCCTCATCCCCACCAGCATTTGTTATTTTCTGTCTCGTTGAACAGTGCTGGGGTTAGATGGTATCTTGTTGTTTTGATTTAAATCTCTTTGATGGCCAATGATTGTGAGCATCTCTTCATGTATTAGCTAGCCACCTGAATATCCTCTTTGGTGAAGTGTCTATTCATGTCTTCTGCCCATTTTTCAACTGGATTGTTAATCCCTTTGTTGTTGAGGTGTTGGAGTTTCCTATAAATCTTAGAGATAAGTCCTTTGTCAGATATGTAATATTGGCAAATATGAATTTGTTGCTGTCATTTTTGTTATGTGCTTTTTCGTGGTGTCAATGTCTTTGTTCCATATAATTTTCTATGTTGAGTTCATTTTGTTTATGAATCATGTTATCACTTCCTTCATTCCTATTGTTTTAGTATTTGCTAAATATTTATGCTGGTCCTCTTTTTTATTTTGATGTGAAGATTTATCATTTTTCTTTGAGGTTACCCTGTGATTTATAGTTTTCTTCCCAAGTTTAGAACAGTCCATTCTATCTTGTAGTTGTCTTGACTTCCCTACAATCTAGAAGTTCTCTAATGACACAGTTTTTCCCCTCTTTTTGGTTTGTAGTTGTCCTCATTTGTCAGTTGGCGACTCTGGTTCCCTGTTTACAATCTTGTAGGCTTATTTTACTTTGGATACTTCCATAGCTGGGTTGGTTTCTTGGTTATATCATCATGTGTGTTAATGGTCAGTTGCTGTTGGCTTTTGTTGCTTCTCTGTCCAAAGGGCTCCCTTTGGCATCTCTTGTTAGGTTGGTCTGGTTTTAACAAATTCCTTAATTTCTGCTTATCTGGAAATGTCCTAATTTCACTACCATATTTGAGGGACAGTTTTGCTGGGTATATAATTCTTGGTTGGAAATTTTTCTTTCAGGATTTTATATATAGCATCCCATTGTCTTCTCATCTGCATGGTTTCTGTTGAGAAATCCAAGCTTAGTCTTATTGACTGACCCTTATAGGTAACTTTTCATTTTTCCCATGCTGCTCTCATGATTCTTTCTTTGTCTTTGGTTTTGGTGAGTTTGATGATGATACGTCTGGGTGATTTTCTTTTGGGGTCTATCCTGTTTGGGGTTCATTGGACTTCCTGAATGGATATATTCTCATCTTTCGTCATACAGGAAAATTCTTTTCCAACAAATCTTCGACAATTTTCTCTGTGGTTTTATTTGTCTCCTCCTGTTCTGGAATTCTGATTAGACGTAGGTTATTCCTTTTGATGGTATCCTACATGAACCTTAGGCTTTCTTCATTTTGTTTTGATCTTTTTTCTGATTGTTCCCTTTCCAACGAAATATTGAGGTATTTGCCTTCAGTCTCACTAATTCTGTCTTCCATTGATTTAATTCTGCTCCTTTGCTGATTCAATGTCTTATCTGTTTCTGAAAATTTAGTATTAATCTTCTGGATTTCTGTGTGTAGATTTTGTATCATTTCTCATTTTTCATTTATTTTGTCATTTTTGTTCTTGTAATGTCTTTCAAAATTGTTTTAGGGTTTTCTTTATGTTTTCCTTGATCTGTCTCTCAATTCGTTGATGATACCTAAATATAATTCTTTTGAATTCCTTCTCGGAGAGTTCCA